TACCTATCAGGGACTGGGCAGAGGAGGAATGGTGGAGACCGCCTCCCCAGCTTGACCCTTCCAGAGAAGAAGACAGTTCAGAATTACAACAGGGGTTTGAGGGACATCATAGCTCAGAGGCAGATGAGGGAGAAAGTTGGGAAATAATGGGAGAGGAGGAGGAAGAAGAAGCACCAGGGGAGATACGCCTGACAAACTTGGTGTCTTTAGAAAGCATTCCAGACCACCACCACCACCCAGAACCCAGCAAGCATTGAAAGTAGGAGAGCAAAGAGCTCAAAGGCAGAGGGCATTTTTCAACACCCGTAGCGATGACGCATGAGGAAGTAGGAGAGACAGAGGGGGTGGAAACTCACTCAGGGCAACGCCATTATTCCAAGAGGCTGCATTTACTCTCTGTGAATATTGAATAAAAAGCAGACGGTGAGACTTTTCCTTGTCTTGTCCATTCCTGTCAACCTGCCGTGGGAGTTGGTTCCTCTGTCGAATACCACCTTTTGGAATCTCCCCTTCAGCAAAGACCAGAATTACCAGGAAATTTCAGGTAGGCATTCCAGAAGGTCGCCATGTTCAATGCATCCAGACTAAGGTCCACTGGTGGGAAACTTGTAGGTGTAGCAATGGTCTCAATGACAGAAGGAGGTTAAATTCTCCTTTTCCCTCTTTGTCCCTTCAACAGCTGGTCTAGAGGCTTCAGCAGAGCAGCCAGAGAGTTGACACAAGCGGCTGCCCAGGGAAGGGGAGATTGACCAAAGAACAACAAAAGCCACCCTACCCTTGCCCTCAAGTGGGAGGAGTCTCCTCCCCTGGATCCCAACTCCATTTGTGGATGGCTAATTAGGCTTTAAGTGTTTAGGGTGCAAGAGGAGGGGTAGTACCTCTGATGGATAATACATTGTCCTCGTTCTGGGGCAGTTTTTCCACCTTTGGTTCCTACCCTGCACTCAGCTCTCAGTTGTAGTTACCAGAAGCTGTCAGCATGCAACAGTGGCCACAGCCAGGAAACGGCTTTGACTGGCCAGTGAAACCAAGTGAGAGGAGCTGATGGTTCTCAAAACCTCAGCAAGTTAGGGAATTCCCCTGTATGTGAAGACAGGCTCTGGCGAATTGGGCAGATAAGACTAATACAGGGAAGCAATTGTCAAGAATGCGGTTTCTGTCCATGTTCTAGTGCTATGATAAAGGGTCAAAAATTTCCTTCATCCACTTTCTCCAACTTTATAAACTTCTTGCATGTCATTTTCTCTAAGGTCACTGCTTCCGTGTTACCTTTTACTCTCCTTTTCTCCTAAGGAGTACCAAATGCTGCAACCTTTCCACACTGGGGAATCATCCCCCCCCCCTTGATCATGTTGGTTGCCCCAGAGCAGTAAAAAGGTAAAGGACCCTGGATGGTTAAGTCCAGTCAAAGGTGACTATGGGGTTGTGGTGCTCATTTTGCTTTCAGGCTAAGGGAGCCAGCATTTGTCCACAGAAAGCTTTCCAGGTCATGTGGCCAGCATGACTAAACCGCTTTTGGAGCAACAGAACACCATGATGGAAACCAGAGTGCATGGAAACACCGTTTACCTTCCGACTGCAGCAGTACCTATTTGTCTACTTGCACTGGCATGCTTTCGAACTGCTAGGTTGGCAGGAGCTGGGACAGAGCAATGGGAGCTCACCCTGTTGCGAGGATTCGAACTGCCACCTTCTGATTGGCAAGCCCAAGAGGCTCAGTGGTTTAGACCACAGCGCCACCAGAACATTGGGGGCTCATAACCACTGGATCTGTTGGGTAGCCAAGGCAGTCACTGGAGGAGGGGCCCAGGGACACAATCAGTTTATTCCGGTTTGCCCCACCCCAGTCCTCCTCCCTTGCAAAGATACTGTGTGTACCCAAGCAATGCAGTAGTACAGTTACTTAGCATCAAAATGAACTCAGCCCCAGAGTCTACTACATGTACTGGACTGGCAAGAGTGTGCAGAGGTCAACCAAAACATCTATAGCCCAGGCTGTTTTTAAAGCCATGAGTAAAACCAGTGTGGATCTGTTAGTTCGTGGGCCTTATTTGTTTCTAACAGAGGTGCTGCAGGGAAAGCAGGTTACCATGGTTTTTAAAACAAAAATAACATACAGACTTTTTAAAAGGTTCTTGCTCTGCAATATTCAAGTCATCATGAACATACATCATTTTTATTGCAGTGCCTTTCCTGTTGAACACACTTAACTTCATCCACAATAGGAAGGATGCCTTATCCAGAGAGAGACAGAGAGAGACAGAGAGAGAGAGAGAGAGAGAGAGAGAGAGAGAGAGAGAGTGTGCCAAGGCACTGTTTTGTTTCATTAGAAAATGAGAGAACTCACTCTGCTGGAGGGCAGCCAATTCCAATGCAATTTTATGCTAAATGAAACAGGAGAAAGTTCAGATGAGTTTTGTTTGGAAATCTTGCTGCGGAGATAGGTTGTTGCTATGGTGGCTGCAATACTCCCAAGCTCCCAACTCAGCAGGGGAAATGAATGAAGGTGCAAAGGGGGTGCTGGCCTTGCACTTCTGGAGGCTGAAAAGTCAAATGCACAAGGCAGGTTTGCATGAACAGCCCCATCTCAATCATGCATTTATTTGACCAAGAGCTGAAGCAGCCAGAAACTTTTATTCAAATTAAATTAACAAAGGGGTTCAACTTATATGTCCTGCCAGTGGAAGCCGTGTGCAAGGATTTCCGCTTGTGCAACAGGATTTTCTCCCCTTCTCTTTGACCACTCCTCAAAAATTGGCTTGGAAGAATTTGGGAGAACCCCTGGGACAGCAGGCAGGGATAGGAAGGGGGTGTCTGGAAAGACAAAATGGTTGCCGAGACAGAACAATCCTCTTAGCTTTCTCCCAAGGCTATAACCCTTGCAAATGTCTGGCTTTGCACCATCTTCAAGGAGCACAGAAGACTGAGAGCTAATATAATAGCCATCTTCAAATATCTTAAGGGCTGTCACATGGAAGATGGAGCAAGCTTGTTTTTTGCTGCTCTGGAGGGTAGGACCCGAACCAATGGATTCAAATGATGAAAGCGAGACCTTGCTGGGGATGCAAGGTAATTTTGCTGCGGTTTGCTACTTTTTCAGGTCTGTCCCCATCCCAAAGCTTCTCTCTTAAAAAATAAGCAGAACATCTGTTTGGCATGCAGAAGGTCCCAGCTTCCATCTCCAGAGTTTCCTGTTAGGACTTGAAGAGACCCCAACCTGAAAGCCACCATCATTGTAGACTGACTTACCTCAGTTTGAAGTAAGTGAAGCAAGTCCATTGACATCTGGCCCCCACCCCCAAAAAACCCTGGGACCTTCTGCATGTAAAGGAAGTGCTCTGCCACTATGACTGAACAAAGAACTCTTTTTTTGCATAGACTCCAGCAATATAAGCAAAATAAAATTCCATATAGGCATTTTCACTTTTAGAACTGATATTATCAAAGGGAAGAATCAATTTTCTCAGGAACAAAATACTGCCATTTTGAGACCTGAGGGGAAATGCAATATAATTTAGTATTTGTAGTGTTGAAAATGCCATGTCTCCACTTCAAAAACTAAACTAAACAACTAAACTATACTAAACTTATCAAAATATGGAAAGGCTCTGTGTTTCTTTATTAATATGGCAGAAATGATGGAGTTGATTTTAGCTGTGAGATGCTTTGATAGGCTACTCATAAATTACATGTTCAAATGCTGCCATCCAGTGGGCATTAGTGGTTAAGAGTTTGCATGAAAAGGCAATTCTCTAAAGGTTGAATGTTAACCAATGGACTTCTTTTCACAGAAGTGAAAACAAGGCTGAAGAGTCAGCAGCGGAATGGCAGTTCTAATATAATAGGTGTGCTTGTTGTAGGATGGACCGACAGCTTATCTGCTTGTTCCACTCTTAACTTAAAGCACCTGTTAAATTTCCCCATGGATCATCCCATTCATAGCACCTGGAAGAACTTGCTGAGCGAGTCATCTCTACCATCGCATCGCAAGGCCCCATCTGCACTATACCTTGAAAGCTGCTTCAGACCACTTTGGGCAGTCATGGCTTCCCCCATAGAATCCTGGGGGCTGCAGTTTGGTGAGGATGCTGAGAGATGTTAGGAGACCCTTGATCCCCTCACAGAACTACAATTCACAGAGTGGTTTAACAATCAAAAATCCCAGGGAAGTCTGGGAACTGTAGCTCCTTGAGGGGAAGAGGGGTCTCCTAATAACTCCCCTTCTCAGGCTTTCCTTCATAATGCATGGATGGAAGGCTTACTGGGCCAGCAGAAGACCAGAGGCCAGATCTGAGATTGCAGCCCTTCTCTCGCACTCAGGCAACTGGAACGGCATGAGGCATAAAAGAACAGGGTTTGCCCATGTGGTGTTCTCCTGATATTGGGCAATAGTAGCAGAAGCTTGGAACCTGGAGGTTCACCATGTTGGCCAACCCTGCTGTGCAATCAAACTTGGCACTCCATATTCAAATCTCACTAAGCAGCGAACTGGATCGGTTCTGGTCCTTGGAGTTCAGCTGTTCATGGCTCTGTTGCTAGCTGTGAAGGCTATGTTCTGCCTTCATGGTTGGAGGTTCGGAATACCAGTTGCCAGACACCTCAGGAGAGCTCCTCTTGCATTCAGATCCTGCTTGGAGATTTCCCACGGGTTTCTAGGTTAAGGTTACCAGATATCCCTGTTTTCTGGACACAGTCCCCAGATTTACAAATCAGTCCCCTGACAAAATCTATCTGTTTAGTAGGAAGTTGAAAAGTGTCCCCAGATTCATTGAAGAAGAGGAGGAGGAGGAGTAGTAGTTTGGATTTGATATCCCGCTGTATCACTACCCAAAGGACTCTCAAAGCGGCTAACATTCTCCTTTCCCTTCCTCCCCCACAACAAACACTCTGAGGTGAGTGAGGCTGAGAGACTTCAGAGAAGTGTGACTAGCCCAAGGTCACCCAGCAGCTGCATGTGGAGGAGCGGAGATGCGAACCTGGTTCACCAGATTACGAGTCTATGGGGAGGGGGAAGGTTAAATCCAGAGATACATGGTACTTAAAGATTCCTAAGAGAATTTTTTTCTGCCTCTAAAACCACTTTTTGAACTGTTCTTTCTCCAGATTTTCTGATGAGGGCTTAGGGCTCATGAAGCAGAAAAACAACATGACAACATCTTGGGATCAAAATGGCCACAACTTTATTGATTACAGATGTAAGTAGGTTTTGGCTTAGGCACTGGGCATGCATCCTGAATCAACCAGCCTGTTTGCTGGCTGATTACTACATCAAGGTCAATCCCAGATGCACATCAAATGGAGCGATCCCTCCAGGATGCCGTTTGGGGAGTTCTGTGGCCCGTTCGCCCCCATCTGGGTATTCAGAGAGAAACCTTCCCCTGGACCCCTTTCCTGGGGTACCACAATACTTAATCCTGAAAGGGAAGGTAGGACTTGCTCCCATCACCCTAGTTTAGACTAAGGATCCAACCCAGAGCCTTTTTCCTCCAGCAAGGTGTGACAGTTGCTATGAGGCAGGTAAAATGCCCTTTTGTTGAATCCAAGTGAAATGTTCTGGAAGGCCTTCAAGAACCATCTTTGTAGTCAAGATAACCCCCCAGATAATTTCCTTGCTTTGATATGTTTCCTTGCTTTGATATGTGCTAATTGGCTTGCTTTGATGCTACACTTATCTGTGGAACTTGGGATGCTGGGCTTTAGGCTCAGAGAAGGGAGAAGCTTTGGATGGCTGCCACCTATGGCCTCACTGGCCAGGTGAGGTTCTGGGCAAACTGACATTTTCTGCTTTGTGCATGATGGCTATATCAACATTTGCTTGGGGGAGGACGAGCCATGGTGACCTCTTATTGTTGCAGTGTTTGTCCTGTGCCTGCAATGGCAGCGAGGCCCAGCAGGCTCGTTTACTGTTAGCTTATGCTTTCTTATGGTAAAACACTAGGACTGATCACTCTGGTATTTTTAACTTCCTTCTTTGGTATACCTGCACCAAACCACTTCCATGAGCCAACCACCCGCCCAGCCCAATTGGTCTATGGACAAATTCCTCCCGGGCCCCAAATACAACTATTGATTAGTTTCATAGCAAGGTCATGCACAGGCACTGCCCACTTAACTTCAGGTAGTGCCAAAAAATGAAGAGGGCAGGTGAGGCGTCTGATGGCAAACTATGCTGATGCTTCCGAGTGCAGTCAGCTTGAATGGATTGTCAGCACACCTGAGTGAAGCCAGTCTTCCCCAGGTCTTCTCACCAGCTTTGCCTTCCAGGTTTGCCAGGGCTGGCATGTTAAAATTTTAATTTTAAGTCCCCCATGACCGGCAGTCTCTGCACCATGAATAATTTTATACACATCTAATCTGCCCTCAGGGACGCGGGTGGTGCTGTGGTCTAAACCACAGAGCCTAGGACTTGCCGATCAGAAGGTCGGTGGTTCGAATCCCCGTGACGGGGAGAGCTCTCGTTGTTCGGTCCCTGCTCCTGCCCCCCTAGCAGTTCGAAAGCACGTCAAGTGCAAGTAGATAAATAGGTACCGCTCCAGTGGGAAGGTAAACGGCATTTCCATGCGCTGCTCTGGTTCACGGCTTGGTCATGCTGGCCACATGACCTGGAAGCTGTCTGCAGACAAACGCCAGCTCCCTCGGCCTATAGAGCGAGATGACTGCCGCAACCCCAGAGTCGTCCGTGACTGGACCTCATGGTCCGGGGTACCTTTACCTTTAATCTGCCCTCTTCTCACTCATCTTTTCTCCGAATGACAAAGCAACAAACTTCTAATGCAGTCCCACCTTGTGGCAACCTGTCTGTTTTGGTCCTCCATCCTGCCCAGGCAGGGAGGTCATGTCCCCCTTTCAATACACAAACAGAGTAAGGGGTTCCACCTATTTGGGAAGCAGGGGGAGATCTTCAGCAGCAGTAGCTAACTGCAACGGCCCATCTCCTCACTTCAAAAATGTGTTACGCTCCCTTCCTGGACCGACGTGGCTGTGTAAGAGCTACCTGTCAGTCAGAGCCCATGTGTGCGTCAAGAGTCCTTAAAAGATGGATGGCCGCCAACCAACAGCCCTTGTTCCCTGACATCCGTCAGACCATCAGTGCTGCTACATTATGCATGAAGAAACCTGTTAAGTGACTGCAACAGGATAGACACGAAGCACGATGTTCTTTTGTGGACCTTTCCCCTTCCTGTCTGATTAAACATTCTTCCAAATAAAACAACTTAAAAATGGCAGGTGGGTTTTTGCATGCCTTCGTGCCAAACTCAAAGTGGTATTTCTCTTCCATGCGCCTGGACTAGGCGTAGCCATAGCACCTTCCAGTTTTTGTTGGGACTACAATTCCAAGCTCTGTTGGTTAGAGTGTGGCGCTGTTAATGCCAAAGTTGCAGGTTGGATTCCTGTATGGGACTGCTGAATATTCCTGCATTGCAGGGGGTTGGACTAGATGATCCTCAGGGTCCCTGAAATATGGCCTGGAAGAGCCCCAAGGCTCTAAGAGAGGCCTGGGGATCCTGTTTGACCCCAGCATCTGAAATTCTCTGCTCCTGAAAGAGAGCACCAGTCTGAACCAGATCAAAGTTAAAAGCCTGCATCAGTGTCAATGAAGCACAGCAAAGACCCTTGAAAACAGATAAATCAATATAGCCCTTAAATATCCTTTATTAGAAAATAAGCACTGGAAAATGATTTAGAAGTAGCACGATGGCCAGACATGCTATACACAGTACAATAACATCAGTTCTCTTATTTTCCACAAAGTATCACCTGCCTTTTGTTTATTTTTAAAGGAAATAAAGATTCATGGGTTCACCACATATGATTCTGTGTGCGCATGTAGGTGGGAAATCATACTATAATGGGAATGGGAAACTTCTTTAGGTGACAAAAACACAGTCAATTTCTTGTCTGTCAACCAGTCCCAAAGCCAGGAAAAAAGGAAAGAAAATGTAAAGCCAACCACTTGAAACGTCAAGAGCACACATTGCAAAATATAAGGCTTTGGGCACAGCCCAGACGACCATATCTTTTGTCCTTATTCATTAGTCAGTTTGATCTTCTCTGGGAAGATGATATTCACCGAAAGGTTCTCGCCTTCGTTGGCCTTGAGGAAGCAATCCCTCTCCTTGCGTACCAGGTGACTGTACCTGGCATTTGCTAGCCACATTTCAAATCTGGAGAAGAAGATGATCCCGGTTGTACCCAACACAACAAGACACGTCAGCAGGCCAAGGGCCAGGAAGCAGATCACCTGACTCTTACTGAGAAGCTGCTGCCTGTTTTCAATCGTCTCTTTTATGGTCAAGACGTCTGGCTCTTGGGGGTGAACAGGTTTGTGGTGAGCTTTCGGGTGCGGGTGGTGATTCGGCCTGTGTTTAGCCTCTGCACCGACGCTTGTGTTTCTGCTGGAAGAAGCACAGGTGACCCCTGCAAAGGGTGGTTTGCAAATGCATTCAAAGCTCCCGCCAGGGCGTTGGCGACACGTCCCACCATTTTTGCATGGGCCGCTCGTGCAGATCGTGATGGGACTGCTGCACAACACACCTCCATAACCAGAGGGGCAGATGCAGCGGAAGCCCCTCCCAATATCGGTGCACGTCCCTCCATTTTCACAGGGGTTCGACTCGCAGTCGTCCGTATCTATTTCACAAAAAATTCCAGTGAAGCCAGGAAGGCACAGGCAGGAGGCGTGAGGAGCAAATCCGTTGTTGTCCACGCAGGTCCCTCCATTCTGGCAGGGAGAACTGGAGTTCAAAACAACAAAGGCAGAAGGGGAAGTCCATGAAAAAACCAGAAATTGTATTTTCCCTCCTGTAGAATGAAATAGCTCTGCCCCCATTTATATATACCTGTTACCTGAAGGAGCATCTCCACCCCCATCATTCAGCGTGGACACTGAGGTCCAGCTCTGAGGGCCTTCTGGAGGTTCCTTGATTACAAGGAGTGAAATTACAGGGAACCAGGCAGAGGGCCTTCTTGGTAGTGGCACCCACCCTGTGGAACACCATCCCATCAGATGTCAAGGAAATAAACAACTACTTGACTTTTAGAAGGCATCTGAATGCAACCCTGTAAAGGGAAGCTTTTAATGTTTGATGTTGTTTCCTGTATTTTTGTTGGAAGCCACCCAGAGTGGCAGGGTCAACCCAGTCAGATGGGCAGGGTGTAAGAAATCATTATTATTATATCTCCAAAGCCAGGAATGAGCTGAGTTGGGGAGACATGTCCTAAGAGAGACGGACAGTGGGGAGGGAAGGTAACTTTGCCCTCCTTCACTCACATGCTCCTCTTGTTGCAGGAATTAGATGCTACCTGCTTGATGGGTGAATGGTAGAGGCATGTGAATGAACAAACCTGGCTGACACGATGATGCCCTGTGCCTGGACTCCTCAACATGGTGCATGTGGGCAACAACACACACTCCTAATCCTTCTTTATCTGAGAGCATTTCGGCACTTTTTTCTTTTGGTGGGGACTGTTGCTCTGCTTGTTTTGCGGTGTGTTTGCCTGCTTGCAAGGTGGTGGTCTGGGCATTGTCAGTTTCTCTTCTGAGAAATGGGCACTTTGTGGTGCCCATGACAGTTTCCAAGTGTGCCCTGGAAGGTTGGGGACTCCTCCCCTGTATGCAGGACCGGATTTAGGTTTGATGAGGCCCTAAGCTACTGAAGGTAATGGGGCCCTTTATATGTCCAGCTGTCCATTGTCAACAACAAATTGTCACTGTTTATTGTGTTGAATATATGCTATATAGTAAATTATGAACCTAATAGGTATCTAAAGCCATTTGCACATGCAGAATGTAGGCACCCTATACACTATATAGTAATGAGCAAAGCAGTGATATTTTAGGGAGCAGGCTAGCAGGTGGGGCCCATGACTTACATCATAGGAGCCTACACAGCACAAAACACTGTTGCTGTATGTAGTTTTATTTTATTTGTTTTTTTATCTTATATTTTGGAAATGTACATCCAGTTTTTTTTGTTTCTTTAAATTTTTTTTGGGGGGGGGCTCCCAAGAGAGTAGGGCCCTAATCTATAGCTTGTTTAGCTTATACGTAAATCCGACACTGCCTGTATGCAAATGCATGTAGGTGTCAGCCTAATAAAAGACAGCAGTAAGACATTCACAAGTTTTTATCCATATTTACCCGTTCACTATACAAGGGCCCTTTTTCACACGGCAGTTTTCCCCGATATATCCTTGAGCACACAAACAAATATATCCTCCATCGCCAGTTTCAATACAAGTGGTTGAGTTATTTGTACAAGGTTTTGAAGAGCAGGGATGAACATCTATATTAATAATACAAAAAAAAATCAATTAAAAAAAATGAACGTTATTTTTGTAGGATTACTGCAATCCTATACCCATTTACCTGGGAGTGAATCCCACTCAATGGGACTTATACCCAAGCAGACAAGTATATAATTGCACTGTATGTTTATGAACATATGAATCTTGGGGTGCATGCACACAAATCTGTTTGTAGCACAAAACAAGCAGTTTTCCCTCAATCTGGAATTCTTCATGGTCATCCTCAACATGCCATTTTCAATCTCAATTCATTCTGGATCCTGCCATCCAACAGAGCGGGTGTGGTCACTAAAGATACATGTGAAAACCTTCCCCTTAGTTACCGGTATGTTATTCCCAACTTAATTATGTTATTCACAGGCACATGCATCAGGTGAATGAAGAAAGACGTGACGAAGTCAGTGGGCAGATGTGGATGCACCCCCATTACTGAGACCACTTACATCTGTTTGCATCTGTTCTGAAATGGACACACTGTGGGATTTTCAGCTTTTTGAGAAGCAATGAGAAATTTTAATAACCTTAAATTTCCTGCTTTAGTTCTCTCCCAGTGTCAGGAGGACGTTGGTACTTCTAAGATTAAAACTATATACCAGTTTTCCCATTTGACATATAGTTTGGCCTTAAGTAGAACTTGGAGGGTTGCCATATTCTGAAGAGCAGAAAAGAGGATGCTATGAAGACTTTCTTTTAAATACCCCTGCTATATGTGGGCTATAGGAGCTGTGATATATTGCTGAGGGGGGCAGGAGAAGAGAAGAGGAAAGCAAGTCTTCAGCCACCAGTTATGTCTATGTCTCATCCAGAAATTATGGCCAGAGACCTTTTGGCAAATTGAAAAAATCCACCCATACACAAATTTTACCCCTGAAAAAGAGGACGTGTCCTGGACAAAGAGGACACAAGGCAACCCTAAGGATCTGCTCATCTGAATAGCTGCAACTCCAAGGTGCCTTCATTGCAAAAATGAGAGAGAGAGAATGCTATTAAAGTAACTGTCTATCTGTAACACCAGGTGGTGCTGTAACCGTATGGATGGATCCATCTGGATCTTGGGCAGAGGAAGCAAAAGAGGTTTGCAAACCTGTGTCACAGAGGCTGCCGATCCATCCTTCTTCGCACATGCATTGCCACGGCTTGGCACAGGTCCCGTGCAGGCAGCCAGGGAAAGGGATGCACTGGTCACAGAGAGGGCCCTGCCAACCAGGCTGACACCTAAAGAAAAGACAGTCAAACAAGCCTGGATAGCTCAGCTGGCTAGAGCATGGTGCTGATACCGCCCAAGGTTGCAGGTTTGATCCTCATATGGGACAGCTGCATATTCCTGCATTGCAGGGGGTTGGACATCAGGCATAGGCAAACTCGGCCCTCCGGATGTTTTGAGACTACAACTCCCATCATCCCTAATTAACAGGACCAGTGGTCAGGGATGATGGGAGCTGTGGTCCCAAAACAGCTGGAGGGCCAAGTTTGTCTATGCCTGGACTTGATGATCCTCGTGGTCCCTTCTAACTCTTAATTCTAAGATATCAAGCCGGGATAAGACCTCCTTTGCAAATACAGTTAAGAGTTTGGAAAGTGTAACAGATAAGATTCCAAAAATAAGATGGCTTGATTTTACCGATCATGGGCTATTCCTTTAATGGAATCCTATACACATAGTGCAGCTACATGCACACCTACATGTATTTATGGGACTACCTCTCCTGGTATGCCCTGCAGAGGAACTTAAGGTCCATGAATAATCATAGTTTAGAGGTCCTGGGCCCTAAGGAAGTCAGATTATCCTCCACCAGGGCCAGGGCCTTCTCAGTGATGGCTCCGACCTGGTGGAATGCTCTGTCCTATGAGACCAGAGCCCTGCAGGATTTAACTTACTTCTGCAGGGCCTGTAAGACAGAGCTATTCCACCTGGCATTCAATCTGAACTTAGCCTTTTATTCCCCTTCCTTCCCTCCCCCTCCCCTTTTTATTACCCTCTCCGGGATCCCACAGCTAATTCTCCCCTGGTTTCCTCACTGGCCCAAATAGGACTAATTTAGCCAGCTAGCTCTGGTGATCATCTAATGTTTATTGGATGGATTTCCCCCCTAAAATGATTTTTGCATTCTGAATTTATTGTTATTCACATTTTATACTTATTTTATGCTGTTTTTTGTTGCATCAATTAAGTGTTTTAAATTTGTTGTTAGCCACCCTGAGCCCGGTTTTCTGAACCGGGAAGGGCGGGGTATAAATAAAATTTTATTATTATTATTATTATTATTACAAGAGGGGACAAGTTTCGAAACACGTATGCTTGGAGATAATGGGATTTCAAAATCATTTGTGTCTCGCATCTGAGCACCACACATAGAGACCCAATTTAAAATAACATGCTTTTTCTTTTCTCTGCAAAGAAAGTTTTTTTTTAGGACTGTTACTATCAATGGCTATTGGCGTTCATCCTTTATGGAGACAATATGCCTCGGAAGAACAGTCGCTGCGAATCCTAGGCTGCTCTCGGCTTCTGTTTGTGGGCTTCCCATTGTGGCATCTGTTGATCACTGTGAGAACCGGATGCAGATCCAGCAGAGTTCTTCAGGATATCCTGTGATGCTTTAGAGAACTTTTTTCTGGGGACAAACACTTTTAGTGCTTCGTATCTGGATTGTTTAATTGATTATTTTTTTAATGCATTTCATATTTTGCATTGCATAATTGTAAAACACTTTCGGGTGCCTCTGAATGTGTGAAGTGTTATGCAAAGATAATAAATTAGCTAATTAAACAATTACTGTTGTTTCATTGTGCTGGGTAACCTTGTACCTCATAATTTGCATTGGTCTGCTTTTTAAGTGTTGCATAGGCCGTAATAAATATAAATCAGGGGTGGGTGAAATGATGGCACGGTTATTAATTAAAGCATTGGTTACTGAATTACATTTTGCACACAAATATGCTCCTGTTAGTTGAAAACAGAACAGAGTTCAAAAGCATGATTAACTGAAACAAGCGCTCTCTCGCTTGGGCATAAAAATCTTAATTTACCTGCATTCACTTGAAACTTCACAATATCCATTTACAGGATGACAACCAGGCTTACATTCGACACCTAAAATATTAAGATTCACAACATAATATTGCAGAAGTGCTTCTAAAAAGAGCTCTTCATTCTGTTTTAGAGTGAAGACCCCACTTTGATGATAAGATAAGATAAACTTTATTCGCATTAGCCAATGGCCATAGCAACATAAAACAAGCAATATAAACAAATAAAATATATACAAATAAAAAAGACAGCAATGGGTAAAAAGGGCAATCAAATGGCCAAGATTATCGTTCAGATAGTGGCCCTTAATCTCATTGCACCCTCGATAAACCCAGCAACCTTTGCTGTTGTCCGATCATTTTGATTTAAGACCCCACTTTAAAATGACAGTGTTACCCATGCAAATATTTCATTAGCAGCACAGCAGTTGACGAAAACATATGCATAGCTTTAGAACCTATATCTGTTTTCTAAGTTTGAAACTATTTCCTTCTAAATCAGACTCAGACCCTGAGTGTCGTTGCTTATATAGCCAAAACAGTACAATCCATGTGCAGGAGGGAGATGTCAGCAGGCCTGGGAAACCCCAAGGTTTGCAAAAACACAAGGCATCTTTAGGGGAGGGGGGCAGGGAGGAAAACACCTCAGCAGTGTAATGAGGTCTGAGCATGCTTAGTAGGACAGGAGGGGAGGGGCGGGAAACTGGAGATGGGATTTTGAGTGGTTGGAATCCAGAGAAGTAGTACTTCATACTGTAACATTTTGTTGCAACTACTACTTGTGACAAGCCTCAGAGCTGAAAACAAAACGCAATACAAACTTCTAAATAGTATTATAATTGCCACTGATACAATAATGTTTTTATTCATTAAATTTCTATCCTGAACTTCCTCCCCCAAAAGGCCAGGGTGACAAATAAGAAAACAGCAATAGCATAAAATTTGATGTATATTTTAAAAAAGAAAAACCGCAGCGCAGAATTTCCAACACAAGTGATGCCAGTTTCAAGTTGTGTAATAGAACCCATCTGTGACTACTAATCCATTCTCATTTCATATTCATGCCCTTGGATATATTATTCTCCTTGAGACTTTTGTTTCGAAAGAAGCCCCATGGACTTCAAGGGAGCCTAAAGAAGTGCATTTAGGAGCAAATGTTAATTAACAGCTACTCGTGCAAAAGCAGCTCCTGGCTCCAAGATGACATCCAAATATCCCACAACATAAACACTAAATGTGTCCAACAATGATGCTTGATTGGGAAAAACTAATTTGGATAAACCGCAAAGAAATGCAAAGGTTAATTGAAGCTCATTACATTAATAGTGTTGTGAAATGTATCACCTAAGTAAGACAAAATAAAATCAGGCTTTGCTGCCAGAACCTGTGCGTGTTTACTCGGAACTAAAATCTACAATCCTGTGCACACTTGCTGGGATCATAGAATCATAGAATCATAGAGTTGGAAGAGACCACAAGGGCCATGGAGTCCAACCCCCTGCCAAGCAGGAAACACCATCAGAGCACTCCTGACATATGGTTGTCAAGCCTCTGCTTAAAGACCTCCAAAGAAGGAGACTGCACCACACTCCTTGGCAGCAAATTCCACTGTCAAACAGCTCTTACTGTCAGGAAGTTCTTCCTAATGTTTAGGTGGAATCTTCTTTCTTGTAGTTTGGATCCATTGCTCCGTGTCCGCTTCTCTGGAGCAGCAGAAAACAACCTTTCTCCCTCCTCTATGTGACATCCTTTTATATATTTGAACATGGCTATCATATCACCCCTTAACCTCCTCTTCTCCAGGCTAAACATGCCCAGCTCCTTAGCCGTTCCTCATAAGGCATTGTTTCCAGGCCTTTGACCATTTTGGTTGCCCTCCTCTGGGCACGTTCCAGTTTGTCAGTGTCCTTCTTGAACTGTGGTGCCCAGAACTGGACACAGTACTCCAGGTGAGGTCTGACCAGAGCAGAATACAGTGGCACTATTACTTAAGGGATCAAGGCTTGCTGAACACAGTGGAGCTTGCATCTGGGTAAATATACACTAGACTGCACTCAAAGGCCACAGTCACATTATATACACTTATCTGGCATTAAATCTTGTTGAACTCAGTGGAACTCAATCCTACGAGCTATAAGACAGTGGAAAATACTATGCCAGATCTTGACACTGCAATATATTTTATAAATGTGATTGTAAAATCATACATAGATCTGGACCATGAACCAAGGTTTCTACTGAAAAATATATGATGCATTTAAGGACAAAGTTATATTTGAACTCATTCTTCTGCTTAGGAGAACAATGATCACATAGGCTGACCACAAACACAGTGAATTCGGAAGTTAACTGATACATGAAACATTTAATAGAACTGGGCATTGTACTACCCCATCTCTCCCCCCCCCTTTCATCTTTTGCAAAAATGAACAGGCATACCAACATCAGAACACTGGCAGCACAATCCTATTCATGTCTACTCAGAAGTCCTATTATATCACCATTGAAGCATTGAAAGTTTAGTTTTTAACTTTCACCGGCAGAATTAAGCATGCAGTTACAACTGCTCCGCTTAAATAAATGGAACTGGAGTTTATCTCCGAACGGATCATGCCCTTAAAACAAATACAATGTGTGAAATTTCTGTGCAACATAGCTCACACTGAAACATGTTATTACACAAGCTGGATCTTATCAGGTGACACTTTCTCAAACACACTTAACCACCAATGACCTTAAACCAGGAGCAAATTGCATCAGATGGAGAATGCAAATAACTTTCTGTAGTGGTGCAGTAATAAAACTGCTAGCACATTTGCAAAGCGAAGCGGAGTTTCTATGATTCTGTAAACTGAGGGGCTGGGGGAGACGGGACGGGGCACAGAAACGACACTCTCCCCCTCCAATAGTTGGAAGATATTTACAACAGGAAAGCTTTACAGCGGCATTAAAAGCTTTGTTTAAAAATAATACTGAGGATTGGGAGAAAGTTTGCAGTCTTTACAGCTGCTACCTATATAGGGGAGGCAACCTACCCCGCCCGCCCTCCGGCATTGAAGAAAACGGCAGATGGAAAAGTGGGCGTTCATTTTCAAATGAATTTGATAGAACTGTTTTACTAAATATTGAAAATGGGGTTATTAATAGAGATGGGTGCGAGAGAGATAGTACGCTAAACGGCGGCCAGTTTTTGGATCTACATGCAATGGCATGGATACACAATTCGCTCTCTCGCTCCGCATCCCAATTGAGCGGAAGAGAGAACAAAACTCTTGAGAGCCACACGACCTGCTCCAAGGGAGACAGAAGCACGAGCAAAGAACAACAACAAAAGGACTCGCAAGGGACAGAGTGTGGACCCCACTTGATGCGCCCTGCCTTGGGCGTGCCACGCAAACACTAGAGGCATTCGTTTACTCGCGAGTAAGCATGCACAGCCTTGCGCCGGACGCCGAGGATCGACGCCGTGAGCAAGGTAAAACATTATCCCGTTCCCACCGGGATCTCCTTACCTTGGGCAAGAGGGATGCTAGCAAGCGGCCAAAAGAAGTAACAAATGAATTTGGCAGCCTTGAACCCCATCTCCAAAAAACGCGCCTGGGGAAGAGGGTCATGCCCCACGCCACAGGGGAGGAGACGAAGGCGACGCGCGCCTCGGCTGGCTCGGCTCACGACAGCTGTCCCATCCGCAAACAGATGCGCAGCGTCTCCCGCTAGAGACTCCCTCCTTCCTTTCTTTTCCCAGGAAGGGAAAGGAGGGAGGTCCACCCGCGCGTCTTCCGCAGCAGGAGGAGCGGGGAGGGCTCTTCTTGCGGATAAGGGACCCTTCCCACCCCCTCCCAAGCTTGGGCGAGCCTCTTACGTTCTGGGGAAGGAGGCGGAGGGAATGGGCGCATTCTCACGTGCACGCCGCCACCTCGCGGGGAATCCAATATTACCTGCACGTGAGAAAAGGAGAGAAATGGGGGACACCGAGGCGAAGGGGGCGCAATGGAATTAGACAAGCCACCTAGGGACGGGGCTCCGGGGGTTGATGGGGATGGGTTTAGGGTGGGGTGTTTTTTGGGGGGTGAATCCCCTAATTTGACTCCGCACGACACGTGCACGCGCCCCTCTCCTTTGTTCTCCGCCTGTTGCTTCCAAGCTGGCCAATCGACACACACCGCCGGGGTTGGGGGCAGAAAGGATAGCTTGCGGGAAGTAGAGATAGCTCCGCTTCTTGGAGGCGCGCAGGGTGCGCAGGAAAGGGGCGCGCTCGCTTAACCTGGCCAGGAGGTGGCGCTAGCGAGAAAAGCCCACCTTCCTCTTCGCGAAGCTAAAGCGCTGCAGCGGCTGCGGCTGTCCGCACTGCCCGAGCCCCGGGGAGGTTCCAGCCCTTGGCACCCGCGAAGAGCGGGCAGAGGGAGTTTGCTCCAGCCTTATTGAGGATCTGCTCGCTTTGGCAGCGCGTGGCGGAGCTGCCTGGGGAGGGCGCGCTGCCTGCCCGGTGTTCACTTCTCGGGGACCAGCAGAGCCTATGTGCCTTTTTTTTAAGTTTACTTGTGGGTCTACATTTTGATTGATGTTTATTTCAACTTAATATCCCTCCTAGGATTGCCGCCTTTGTTCTGGCAAAATACAGGACAGACCTGGGCGGTTGGGGGAGGGGAGGCGATCCTCACCCCCACACCAATCTGGTGCTGAAGTGACTTCAAAACAGTTCCATTACAATCTATTGCAGTTTAACAGGATGGCCCCTCTGGAATTGGTCACACAAATTTTTAAACCATGGACATCAAAATGCCAGCCCATAACCGCTCTCCTCATTTAATCCAGTTGCCAATGGCTTGTTTGTAATATCTCCATGACCCATTTACAGTACAGTGGTACCTCAGGTTACAGACGCTTCAGGTTACAGACTCCACTAACCCAGAAATAGTACCTTGGGTTAAGAACTTTGCTTCAGGATGAGAACAGAAATCACGCGGTGCCAGCAGCGGGAGGCCCCATTAGCTAAAGTGGTACCTCAGGTTAAGAAAAGACCTCCAGAACGAATTAAGTTCTTAACCTGAAGTACCACTGTATTGAAGCCCCATCTGGTGGAAGCATCCTTTGCCAGGCCATATCATTTCATATTTATTTACAAACTTGCAGAAGACTTCTTTGTACTTGGAGGGTTCCACAAATAGGCAGAAGCCAGGCCCCAAACTGAAAGGCACTCAGTCACCTGAGTTTGCTATTGACGGTATCCCACTCCAGTATCCCTGCCAAGAAAACTGAAGACAGGAGTGCCTGGCGTGCTCTGGTCCATGGGGTCACGAAGAGTTGGACACGACTAAACGACTAAACGACACAAAGTACAGTGTATTGAGCTTTCTTGTATTTATTTTTTTTTAAAGGATGACTGAAATGACATGTAGGAGATGCTTCTTTTATTTATCGCAGTGTCCAGCAAATAGTAACAGAAATGTGCATTCTCTCACTGGTGGTGCTTTCCGCCCCACACTGATTTAGTGACAACAGAAGAGACTGAGGTAGGGCTGACCCTAATTGTTTGGTTACTATAGCAATGCATTGCCAAGAGGGAGCAAACTGTTGGTTTGGAGCATGCAATGGAGAGATCTTAACTAAAACAACAATTGAAACACTGCCATTGTAATGGGAGCTAAGCTGTCACTTCCCTCCGTGGTAGGTGTCTGACACCAACCGTGCTTCTAAAACAGCTTTGATATATTTGGCTATGAGTTCAGATGGAGTTGCAGATATATTTGTACGTCGACCATAACACCACAGGCAAACCATGTAGACAATGCAAAATGGAGATTCGGAAACAAAAGGCCTTTTCAGTTCAATATGAGAAAAAATAGTACCGGTAATATCACCGAAGAATTGATGCTTTTGAATTATGGTGCTGGAGGAGACTCTTGAAAGTCCCATGGACTGCAAGAAGATCAAACCTATCCATTCTTAAGGAAATCAGCCCTGAGTGCTCACTGGAAGGACAGATCCTGAAGCTGAGACTCCAATACTTTGGCCACCTCATGAGAAGAGAAGACTCCCTGGAAAAGACCCTGATGTTGTGAAAGATTGAGGGCACAAAGAGAAGGGGACGTCAGAGGACGAGATGGTTGGACGGTGTTCTCGAAGCTACCAGCATGAGTTTGACCAAACTGCGGGAGGCAGCAGAAGACAGGAGTGAGTGCCTGGCGTGCTCTGGTCCATGGGGTCATGAAGAGTTGGACACGACTAAATGACTAAACAACAACAACAAAGTGGGCATTGAAGCAGATGAAAGATGTACAGTAGTTCAGAACCAGCTTGGAAATGTAGGTGAATATAAGCCTATGACTCATAGTTGATTTCTCCAAGGTTGCACCCCATCTGGTAGTTTTTCATACATGGTCTACAGGCAGGGATGTGCAACCTGTGGCCCTCCAGACGTTGGACTTCAGCTCCCATCATCCCTGGCCATTGGCCATGCTTGCTTGGGGCTGATGAGAATTGGAGTTTAAGAGAAAAAAGACAAAATTTTGGAAAAAATAAAGGAAGGGGAGAAGAAATTGAGGGCGAAACCAAAGTCCCAGGAGATTTTGAAAGAGATAAAGTTATATCAAGTTCAATACATGGAAATGACCAATCAGGAAGTAGAATGGAAGATTAAACAGATGAGACAAAAGACATTTGAATCAGCAAATAAGTGTGGTAAATTGTTGGCTTGGCAAATGGAAAAAAGACAAAAACTTAATACTATTACGAATTTGGAAGTAGAAGGAAAGAACATACAAAATCCAGTGGAAATTAGAAAGTGCTTCCAGAGGTATTTTAAACAACTTTATACACAGGAGAAGCAGAAAGAAATGGACATTGGCAAATTTTTGAAAATGAATGGACTACAAAAAATTTCTCAAGAAAAAAATTTAATGTTGAACTACAAAATAACGGAACAGGAAGTGGAAGGGGCCATTCAGAATATGCAATTAGGTAAATCTCCAGGACCGGATGGACTGACCTCAAGATATTACAGATCTTTGAAAGAATGGGTAATACAACTTTTAAAGGAAGTCAGTAATGAAATACTGGAAGGGAAAAAGGCACCAGAGTCGTGGAAGGAAGCTTACATCACACTTATACCAAAAACAGAGACTGAAAAGACACAACTTAAGAATTACCGCCCCATATCATTGCTTAATGTGGATTATAAAATTTTTTGCAGATATTTTGGCTAAAAGATTAAAAAAGGTGTTAACGGAAGAAATTCATAAAGATCAAGCGGGCTTTCTCCCGGGCAGACACTTATCTGACAATACGAGGAATATAATTAATATTTTAGAAAAACTACAAGTGAAGATTAATACCAAAGCAGTTTTGATATTTGTGGATGCGGAGAAAGCTTTTGACAACATTTCTTGGAGTTTTATGAAGAAGAATTTATTGGGGATGGGGGTGGGTCAAGGTTTTGGAAACGGTATAAGTGCAATTTATTCAGAACAGAAGGCCAAATTAATTGTGAACAATGTAGTGACGGAAGAATTTAAGATTGAGAAAGGAACACGACAAGGTTGCCCAATCTCTCCATTGCTTTTTATATCGGTCTTGGAGGTTTTGTTAAATATGATTAGAAGGGACCAATTGGTAAAAGGTATACAAGTGGGAGCGAAACAGTACAAATTGAAGGCATTTGCTGATGATTTAGTATTGACTTTACAGGAGCCAGAATCTAGTACTAAAAGAGTATTAGAATTAATCCAAGAATTTGGTCAGGTGGCAGGTTTTAAGCTGAATAAGATGAAAACTAAGGTATTAGAAAAGAACTTAACAGAGATTGAGAGAGAGAAGTTTCAGAAGGAGACAGGACTGACACTGGTCAAGAAAGTGAAATATTTAGGGGTTAATATGACTGCTAAGAATGTGAATTTATTTAAGGATAATTATGAAAAATGTTGGACTGAAGTGAAAAAAGATTTAGAAATATGGTCAAATTTGAAGCTATCGCTGTTAGGTCGAATTGCTGTGATAAAAATGAATGTATTGCCAAGAATGCTGTTTTTGTTTCAAACACTGCAAATTTTGGACAAAATGGACTGTTTCAAGAAGTGGCAGAGAGATATCTCCAGATTTGTCTGGCAGGGCAAGAAGCCTCGTATAAAATTTAAGATATTAACTGATGCTAAAGAAAGAGGTGGATTTGCCCTGCCAGACTTAAAACGTTATTATGAATCAGCCGCTTTTTGCTGGCTGAGAGAATGGATGCTTCTTGAAAACATGGACGTTTAGGATTTGGAAGGTTTCAATAATGTATTTGGTTGGCATGCATATTTGTGGTATGATAAGGTTAAAGCGCACAAAGCGTTTAAAGACCATATAGTAAGAAAAGCACTGTTTAATGTCTGGATAAGATATAAGGATTTGTTAGAAAATAAAACCCCAAGATGGTTGTCACCAATGGAAGCAAAGGCTCAGAAAAAACTCAATATGGAGGCCAAATGGCCGAAGTATTGGGAAATTTTGGAACAAGAGGGTGACAGATTAAAACTGCAGAGTTTTGAAAAATTAAAAAACAGAGTACGAGATTGGCTCCATTATTATCAAATAATGGAGGTGTACTGTTTGGATAAAAAAAATTGCTTCCAGATGGAAAAATCAAAGTTGGAAACAGAATTGTTAGACCCTAAAGTTAAGAATTTGTCAAGAATGTATAACTGGTTGTTGAAATGGAATACTCAAGATGAAATGGTGAAATCTGCTATGATTAAATGGGCACAAGATGTTGAACATAATATTATGATGGCTGACTGGGAACAGCTATGGACCACTGGTATGAAGTTTACGGCATGTAATGCCTTAAAAGAGAATTTAATGAAAATGATCTATAGGTGGTACATAACACCAGTCAAGCTTGCAAAAATCTATCATTTGCCCGATAATAAATGTTGGAAATGTAATGAAACTGAAGGTACATTCTTTCACCTTTGGTGGACATGCCCAAAGATTAAGGCATTCTGGGAGATGATCTATAATGAAATGAAAAAGGTATATAAATATACCTTTCTGAAGAAACCAGAGGCCTTTCTCCTGGGCATGGTCGGCCAACTGGTGTCAAAGATAGAACTTTCTTTATGTACGCTACAACAGCAGCAAGAATACTCATTGCGAAATACTGGAAGACACAAGATCTACCTACCAGGGAAGAATGACAGATGAAGTTGATGGACTATATGGAACTGGCGGAAATGACTGGCAGAATTCGAGACCAGGGAGAAGAGTCGGTGGAAGAAGATTGGAAAAAATTTAAAGTATACTTACAGAAACATTGTAAAATTAATGAGTGTTAGAAGGATGCGGGGATGAAATAACATGGTTTTAGTAGAAATGCAACAAAGAATTAAGTAAAAGTTGATTGATATTGGGTTAAATTGAAAAAAAACTTAAGGTTAGATCGTTAAAACTATAGAATCAAAATTGAGAAAGATGGGAAGAACTTGCTGAAATAGTGAATTGAACTAGAATACAAAAAAAGGGAGGTGTGAGGAAGTCGATGAAATAAGTTAAGGAAAGGCAAAGACATGGAATATTGGATGTGGTTTTTTTAGTTTCTTTTTTGGCTGGTTGTTTTTTTTTGCTGTATTATTGTATGGTTTTTATATGTTTTATGTGTTTTGTTATTTTTTTCTACTTTATTGTTATTTCTTCTTTTCTTCTGTAACTTTTAAATTTTTAATAAATATCATTTAAAAGAGAGAGAGAGAATTGAAGTTTAAGACTAGCTGGAGGGCCCCATGTTCCTCATTTGTGAGGTACAGAAAAATCACATTAGGAGTTTCTCAATGTTCAATTAATTAACTAGCTAGGATCTAAACACTCAAATAAACAACATTGCAGTCTCAGTTTCAGAGAATGATTTTTAAAACTTCTGCTCTACCAAAAAAAAGAAAAGAAAGGAAGGTAGGATTTGCAGGCCCCATTGGGTTTAATGAGGGTTACTTCTGAGTAGACATTATAGGTTTGCACTGCTGGGTAAATAAATGTCCATTGAGAAGTAAGTCCCACTGAGTTCACTAGGATTTTGGATGCCCTAAACGTGGAGAGCCACAGCCCCAACACCCTTGACATACCACAACTGTGAATTCCTTGAAGGAAAAATGGGCTTGAAAACTGAGCTTTATATGGATCACCCTGCCCTTTGGCATAGCACCTGAACAGGAAACATTGTCTTCTGCCTCAAAATAGAATAAAAGTATAAATACCTTTGTGATTGATGAGGACTACCCAAATGTGAATGGCAGGCTAGACTATTCACTCTGCATTGCAGTGTGACTGCTTGACATTTCCGCTCTTGAGGCAACCAACTTTATTTTATTTTGGATAATTAAACGACCTTTAATTAAATGGCACTGAAGCTGAGCAGCCTTGAGTGTTTTAAAATAAAAGGAGTACAACACATGCCCTCTTACTGTCTTTGCAGCAATGCTGGAGAGGAAAAATAGATTAATTATGTTGCTTTGTTTATCTTGTACTGTGTGAGGAAGTTACTTGGTGTGTGTGTGTGTGTGTGTGTGTGTGTGTGTGTATGTGTGTGCATGAGAGAGAAGATATTGAACCAAAACTGTTCAGAGAAATCCAAATTAATGCCACCAACCTTTACTTGTGTGAGATGTTGGCTAGTTAGATCATTATTCATTTCAAAACCCCTTTTAACAAATTCCCATTCATGGGGACACAACCTGAATGGGTATTGGAGATGGGGGTGAAGTTTCATCTCTCTCTTTCAGTGACATCCCCCTCTCTCTACCCCAAAAGTAGATAAAAGTAGTTTGCACCTTCCTCCTCCAACCTGGAGTTTTTTTCCAGAAGCCTGACTTCATTTCCTAACTATTGTTCTTGTTAGCAAAGTCTTCCTGATGTTTAAACTAAGTCTTTCCTTTTCAGCCTGAAGCCATTTCCTCTTGGCCACAGAAAACAATCAGCTACTAAGGGCACAAGAAGATGTGACAGCAGCAGATCCCATGCTCAGATCTGCTGGTTTTGTTTTGTTTTGTTTTTAAAAAAAGTTTAATAGCAACTAGGACACCATTGTCTGGTCCCACTGGAAATGGGAGCACAGGAGGCACAGACACCAACCATAGGTGCAGCCAGAGGCAATGAGAGATGCCGCCAATTAATTCTAGTTTTGTCCCCATTCACTTCATTCACACCATCCATGCAAAGTAATATGATACCACTTTAAACAGTCACAGCTTCCCCCAAAGAATTCTGGGAGCTGTCATTAATTAAGGGCACCGAGGGGCTATTAGGAGACCTCCTATCCCCACCACAGAGCTACAATTCCCATAATGGTTTAATCATTGATCCCCTTTAACAGGGGACTGGGATTTAACCCGCACCACTCTGAATTTTGCAATGCAGTTCTCCAGTTAAGTAACGTGTACAAAAATGTATATACCAGGGTAAAGTGTGTATAAGAATGCGTATGTTAGAATTATAAGGGGGAATTGCTTTGCCAAAATGGGTATATTAGATGTGTACATTTGGCAAGATTGGCACTAAAATGCTGCACAATTGTCATGTGGACTTGTTTTACACACACACACACACACAACTGATGTGGGCACTGAACTGAAGACCTAAAAATTAAGGACGTGAATTAAACTGAAATGGACAAGATTTGTTCATTGTTATTCCCAGGTAGAGGGTCAGATTTGGTGTCAGGAAACCTCTTTGTATCAAAATAAGTTGAGGAGGAGGCCTTGAAGTCCAACTTGTCCAACCCACTACTCAATGCAGGAAAACTAGACTTAGATTATTCCCAATAGTTGGCTGTCCAGCCCCTGCTTGAATGCCTCCGGTGAAGGAGAGCCTGCTATCCCTCTAATTGGTTCCATTGGTGAAGTGTCCTTTCCATGAAGAGGTTTCTTCTGTGCTTAAGCCAAGGTGGTGCCCACCAGAAGTTGTTGGACTCCAATTCCCATCAGCCCCAGCCAGTATGGC